TAAACCACGGCCTGACGAGACACGGTGGCTTGGGACAGACTTGCTGATGCGCTAGAACCATTTAGGGTTGTCAAACATTTAAATCAGCCAAATTGTTTTAAAAGTGACATTTTCATTTAAATTTTTAACTCACTACGGTGTAAATTTTTCAGGCTTGGTTGGATATCTCTTGGCCCACAAAGTGAGGTTTTAGGCACTGCACAATTTATAATTTGCATGGTGCACGATTTTCCATGTCATACCTTAAAATCAGGAAACTTGGCCACTTTCTTGATGCTCATCACAGCTGGGCAGTCCAGCTTTTTTGTCGCTGGTGACAAGAGTCGCTTGGTTGGCCTGTAATCATCTTCTTTACTCTGAGTTCGCTGCAATGAATGTTTGTCAGTGAATAGGTGAATGCTTGCTTGGACTGACGGGGAGGAAAAATAAATTTACTCAACAAGCAATTGCAATCACAATCTAGGAACTTTTCTAAGTTATTCAGAGCAAAAAACAGACATCTGGACAAATTGTACATTGATCACTGTACATAAATACAATGCAAAGTTCCAATTAAAATTTTACAATTAGCGGAACATTGTGGAGAGACTTACAATGGCAGATCTAGAAACAAACTTCTAGGGAAACCTAATTTTATGGGGTTCTTCATGTAATCATCATTGGGGTCTTCATGAGGTGTAACGCTCACTTTGAAGGAATTTACACATGAGATTTTTCCTTTCTGCATGTAGAAGAAAATTGCTTTTAGGGGGAGCCTGGTTCTATTTCTGGGAAAAAAACCTGCTGGTCACAAACTTTACACTATAAATAAGTTCTGAAACCAAAGCAAAACTGCAAACAAAAACTCAAACAAACTAACAAAAGCTGGACAGCCTAAGCAAAATTGGTGAAACATTTGGATGCACCACGTCATTTTTCTTTTAGAAAAACCATGCACTCTGGTGTAAAAGTGAATTTTGGACTGTTATTACAGTGAACCTATGGTACAATGTACATGTGTTTATGGGACACCGATTCTTCAGGTTACTCCAACACATATTCAAAATCACAACATGCGTCTCGAAATAATATTCTCAAAGGATTTGTCAAACTATTCTCCCCATACATGTACCACAGGTACCAACTTGCCAGCCAGTCAATATCTGTTTTTTCCTTTTTTAAAATTTTCTATTTAAAAATTTGGTTTAAAAATTCATTAATTAAACAGTTAAGCTTCATCTTTGCTTACCCAAAAGTCACATTTTTGTGCATGGGATTCCTTTCAGGTTTTGTAAAAAAAATCCACAACTGGCTTTACTGAAAAATACATATACATGTATGTAGGTCACATTGATTTGAAAGTGAGGTTAACTCTTCATATTTGGGCACCCAGGAATAAAAATGAAAGCACTGAAATCGAACTTCATTTCAAGTTTAATATTATTTATGCTTATGAAAAATTTAAAATTTGTGATTACATGTATTTTAACATTAAATGTTTTTAGCCAAATTTATACAATGAAATGTAAGGAACCTAAAATAGTCTGGTACCACCCCATTTAACAGATTACCGGTACATCAAATAAGATAGGACTCTGGGATCATATTCATATGGCTTCCCCGAGTAAGGTCCATTACTGTTCTCTCTAGGATCTTACCTTGGCCACTTTTTCCCTGTACTTCTTTTTAATGCCAGTGTTCTTGTCTTTACCATGGTGGCAACCCAGCAGGACCTGGCCCAGGTACATGAAGGGCGTGCCGTCAAACTTGATGGCTACCGTGTTGGTGGATTTCTGGGACCAGCTTAGCCTCTTGAATTTCCACTCTGTCAGACAGGAGGATGCAGGGTCAATGTCACAAACATTGCCAGGCACACTGTATATCAGTTGAATTGGCACCAGGGGATTGGCAACAAACAAGCAAATGCATTTTGTGCACATCATTCCGATGGGGAAAGTCAATCAGCTTTTATTCTCAAACTCAAGTCACTATCTTTTCACATGGATTGCATTGATGATTTCTGACAGCTCTTCAAAAATTAAGAAATCTAATTTTCAAGCTTATCAGAAAAAAACGAGTTTGGAGAATCCCTTCAATGAACTTTTTTTCTGTTCAACATGAGTGACCATGCATGTCAATGACTAAATAGGCCAATGCTAAGCTCATTCACATAACACTGACCAATCACATTAACTTTTTTTGCAGCGTAGTGACTAGCTCCCTTTCAAAATTTTCAAATTGCAATTTTCAAAGCAATAGCTCTTATAGATGTTTTCTAATCTGCCTGTAAGTTGAAGGGCAAGTACTTCCAAAACATTCTGAAGAAAGTTTGACTTTTACACTTTCTTCAAATGATAGGTTTACATGTACATGTACACTGTATAAAATAAATGGCATGTTACTCATCAAGATGTTAGATCACATGAAAAAAATAACTAGTTTGGCATCAGTGCCCGCCTCAAAAAATCTTGCCGTGTGTTTTTTTGGGGGGGTTGTCTTTTACAATGTCCTTAGGTGTCGCCCGTAGTTTCTACAACTCCCACACAACCTCATGCACACACAACATACAACTTGAGTACACACACAATGTCATGTGCACTTCTATGCACGAGTCTGAAATGAACATGGCACTTTCGTTCTGTGGTTGCAGCAGTCCAGATCAGCATGCATACCAAAGTACGTGTATTTAAAAAACAAAAATAACCCTCCTCCTTCCTCGTTTTTTGCAAATACTAAACTATCTTTTTTAAAGTGGCCTTATGAAGACGTTGAAAAGGATTTGAAAAAGTTAATGTTGATTTTCAAGAACACTGATGTTCCTGGGCATGGTTTGGGCACAGGTCGGTACAATTTTAATGCTCTTTAGTCCCAAACTTCAAAAGTCTACAGTTACAGTGTACATACAGGCATCTCGCTGTCAAGTCACCGAGAAGTAACGATCTGACTAAAATGACAAATTATTCGTTTTACATACATGTACATGTGCTCATACATGGGGCCTTGTGGGGTACCAGAACAATGGGAAGTACCCTACAAGGCCAGTTTTTACCTACAAGAATTTCACGAAACTGATATTTGGAAATAACTCAAAAAGGGCAAATTTTTTCATGCGAAAAAATTTGTCGCCAATTGAAGTGTTTTATATAAGGGACATAGTCAAAATTTCAACCCAGGAAAGTGAATTTGGTTTAAATTGGAGTGATTTGAAATTTTTTGCATGTTGTGTGGGAGTTTTGTACACGAGAACAAAGGAAATACCTCACAAGTATAGCTGTGTAAGGATGTGTGGGCATATGCGTGCATGCATAAAACAGGCGTGCCACAGTTAAGCTTTTGGCTTGCACAGCAAAATAAAACATGAAGTCTGTGAGAGGGGTTATTACGAATATCACACGTGTTTGACCTTTCAGGGTAAGATGCACGGCGGCATGTGGGAGAAAAAAAGCCACCAATTCCATATGAAGGGGTACAGGTACATTCATGTAAAAAAAAAATTTTTTTTTCATATCATTGTTAGAGGCCAGGGGCCAATTTCATAGAGCTGCTTAAGCACAAAATTTGCTTAAGCGCAAAAAACCTTGCTTAAAAAAACAATGGTTATCAGCTCAAAATCTCAGCGATTGTCATGCTAACCAAAAGATAGGTGAATACCATTCCAAGACAATATACATCACATGGAGTTTTGGCTGGTAACCTGATTTATCAAGCAAGGTTTTTTCATGTTTATGCAAAATTTGTGCTTAAGCAGCGCTATGAAATTGGCCCCAGAGGGCATGTGATGTTAGGGGCAGGTCAGTAGTGACAGACACAAAATTAAACACAGAAAACATGATTTCACTTGAAATATAAAATTTGCTTATTTATTGAACATACATGTACGTGCATACTGTGCATGTGAATTCCCACAAGACCTTTCTCGTGTACTGGAAAATCTGAATTGACTGAAAGTTACAAGTTAATCAAACTCACTACAGTCTGCAATGTGAACACACACTGCAAGATGGGAAATTTTTGTCCCAATCAGATCTTTTGAATAAATACAAATCTTTCGATTAAATGAATCATCTTTTTTTTTCATTTTCAAAAAACATCCATGTTCACAACTTCACATAATGTTATATAGCGGTACCATAAAAAGACAAAATAAAACACCCTCATGATCAACACTGCTTCATGAATAACTCTTTACACACACAGCGGTAGTTTGTGCCAAATTTTGAACTAAGGTACAGGGGGGGTACAGGTAATGGGATTTAGTTGGCAGTTAGCTGAAAAACTGATTTGAATATATTAATTGGAAAATAAATGTAATTCCAAGTTGGTACATGTAACAAGAACACATTATTATTTGTTGATCTATGATTGCTGTTGTGCACACATGTATGAGCCGTAATTAATGTAACGAACACTTTTATTCACCTGTACATGTACCAGTACATGATGTATGCAAAAGTAAATCATCTGCAGTGACCAGCTCAACAGGAATCACTTTCCAATACCATACAATGTGCACATGTTCATTTCTACCATTTTCATTTCACACACACCAAGTTTTAAAACCTTGCTGTTCAGAGGCATCAAGCAAATGCATGTACATGTATTGGTACATGTTATTGCACATTTACCATACATGTATGCTACTTATACATGTACCCAATCATCACATTTGCCAAATTTCAAGTACAGTATTCACATATGGTACATGTATTGTACATGTACATCATCGCTGTTGGTTGCATCACCAACTGACGTATCGTGTGTACAAAGTCAATGGACGGTACGTCACTTCGTGGTGCACCAAAACTACCGTGTTGTATATGTATGTACATGTACATCAATTTGTGGTGCAACCGACACTATACCGGTAAGTGTACATACATGTACATGTGTACAAGTACTTGTATGGCTCATTGTACACATGTACATGTATCCCAGTACAATGTACATGTACAAACATACATTTACCATGTGCCTGTGAGTGTACATGTACAGTATATCACAAGCACAAATGATCCATTTCAAATAACCACATCATTTGAAGATCATTTAAGCTGAAATTACTGTAGGTAAATTCATTATTATTCAAACCCCATATTCATGAGCTACTACGCCATGGCTTCATTCATTTATCTCTTCTCCATCGATCTGAATCTCATATCGTGTCCCGTCTGGCTGCACTACTCGTTCGGTGATGGACCTGACCCGGAAATTTGGCAGGAGGTCACGGAAGTCTGTAAGGCCAACACTGCGCCTGTGCTGGTCTAGGATGCCCCCGACTGTGGTGAAGTGGTGAGCAGTTCTGGCACCTTGTGGACTTGGCTTCTGCTTGGCTTGGCCAGGGGCTCCTTGGCCACCCCTCGTTTGGTCTGAATGAGGGCATGGGGAGGGCTCAGAGTTGGGGCTGCTCTGAGCTGTATGTCTTGTTTCGATGGAGAAGGTTCCGTTACCATTATTCCTTTGCCCTCCTCCAACTAGCCTGCTGTTGACTGACGTTCCCGGTGACTGAGAAGGATGCTTCTTATCCCACTGCTTACATGTCTCAGAGTCTCTCCTGACTGGCAATGAGGGTGATGTTTTGTTTTGAACATTTTGGCCATCTCTTACCCCTGCGGCTGTACCCCTTGGCATCATTTCTTGCCTTGGGATGAGATGATTGCATGCTGAGGTGGTTCTCAGAGATGATGGCGCACATGACACTGAGGCCCTGCAGATGTCGCCTCGTGGTGAGACTTTCTGCTGCGACGACGCCAGTTGGCATGATCCAAGCTCATTTGTAGTCCTAGAAAATATTACTCTGTCGCTCCGGTCAGTTCTATGGTCTAACTCCTCTTGGCTGTTACTGATCCGGCTGACTTGCTGTTCTCTGTTACAGCGGGGAATGCTTGGGTGCTGCAATCTTGAGTGTCCTTGACTGGGGGGAGCACTCACGCTACCAGGATGGATGGTCATTAAACCTCCAGACACGCTAGTTATACGAGGGAAAACAGGCATTGTTGCCATGTGATTCACCGTGTGAACAGTCTGCACCTCGGATCTGTTGCTCTGCGTCTGAGCTTGGCTTCTTTGCACCAGAGACTGCTTTCCAGTGCGACTTGGGACCTCCTGTGAGGCGACCAAGCCCACTGGATATGCTGCTGCAGCGGAATGCTCTTGATGTACTTCTTTCACTTGGCTGTTCCCTGGTTGAGACTTGGCAGTTTCTGATGGACTTCTTGAGCTAAAAGCATCTCCTATTACAGCACAGGTCACCATGTTTTGGGCGAAGTGGGCCAGCTTAGAGACAGGCTCTCCTACATGGCCCATCTCCTCATCAGAATCTTCCATCGTGTTCTCCAGTCTCATCTCGTCCGAATACACTGATGAGAACACCGGCAGGTCAACCAGGTTCGGGTCAAACGGATCGGGCAAGTTGGGGTGTCTCCGTTTGCGGTGCTGCTTGATATTGTACATGCGGCTCGAGGAGTAATCGCAGTAGCCGCAGCTCAACTTGTCCTGGTGGTTGTCCTTCTTGTGCTGCCAGAGAGACTTGTAGCTCTTGTATACCACATTGCACTCCTTGCAAATGAACTCCTCCGGAGGCTCGGCTGCCCCACTGGACTGTTGGTTATGGTGAGTGAGCCTCACCCCATCCGAGTAAGTCGGCGCTGGATTGTCCTCAACTGTGTGGTGAAAGGAGACAACAGATTCTCATTGAGTCATTTCATCGTCACCGTCCTCACCATCAACATCAGTCAGAGTCACATGCTGGCACATGGAGTTTGGTGATTTTATGTACACAGGTTTGTACAGGACACACACATATATGGCATGCACGCAGTCATAACTACTTTGCCTCTGGTAAGCATGTTTACTCCACTGAACAATCAGTGCACAGCACCGCTTCACACTAGACCTGCAGAGTGGACAGTGTTCGGGAAGTGGACTTTCCCATGAAAATGGACGCCACTTGCCGACAAGGTGCATGGTACTGGTACAACTTAGACAATCCAGAGATGAATGTACTGTATCCCGTAAAGTCCCCTTTTGGCTGGTTACTGGAAACATGCACACAGTATAATACACAATTGAATTTTTGTTTTAATCTGGTAACTTATGTTTGGAAACACGGACAACAATGTAATTCTAACCCCCAAGGGTATATGTAAAAATCATATTGAAATTGGAGGATTGGGACTGTTAGGGTTAAATGGTTTACTGTTTATAGCATAATCAATGGTCACAACACACACACGCAGGGACACCTATATAGTACATGTTGTACCGTGTACACATGCAGATCATGCATACATATACGTACATGTACAGTACATTCACTGTATTTTATCTACCTGCAAAGCACATGAATACGGGTAACATGGGCAATTGGACATCAATGGTACCACTTAATAAGAGATAGGATTTGATATTTCAAATGATTTCACAAAATGAATTAAGATTCCCTGCTTTGGTACAATAAGTTGGGATGAAAGTTGGATTGCACATATTTAGGGTGCCTTCCTGAATCCTCAAATATGTCAATTCTGAACAAAGACATCAGGATCAAGTCATAAACAGCAGCACAGGCCTCACTCTTGCACAGTCCTCCAAATATTTTCCTGGACTTCAAAGGACCTTGTACATGTACATGTAGGGTTAAGGTTACATGTATGTCTTATGCCATGAGCCTCTGTGCTGCATGCACGCAGAATGTACAAAATATACACGTACATGTACTGTACATGTACAGTACATGTACATGTACTCAGTAAAACAGATGTGCATGTACATGACGTTACATGTACATGTATGTACACGTGCACATGTACATATACATGTACACTTGATCATTTTATTTGAAAGGCTAATGCAACATACATTCAGACATGGGCTTTCACTCTTTCTGAAGTAGCACTGTACAATGAAATTGGGAAGTCAGGTTGGCAAGGTGTAGTTCTTTCCTCGCCTTCCACCTCTGCGGTCCCGGGTTCGAATCCCGGCCCGGTCCACAGGTGGATTGGGTTTTCAGTCCCTACCTGACTCCGTGGGTTTTACCCAGAATATTCCTCTGGGTTTTCCTCCCACCTCTAAAACCTTAACTGCTTCTTACTGTCTCCCCTTTACTGATGTTGGTGAATGTGGGTCATTTGGCGGCTGCCTGAGGCGCCCTTGTATGCCATAGGCTCAACCATGTTTAAATGTATTCATTGTTCCACGCTTAATGTCTTCATTGTACAGCGCATTTGAACATATCTATATGAAATTTGCACTTTATAAATGAATAAATTATCATTATTATTATTAATTGTACTATTGGTAAGCAGCCCTTCACATGTACTGGTATGTCAAAAATAATTTCTACAAGCTTATGCTCCCAGTGCTACTCAGAAAATCAAGGTATAAGTACACTTGTATTTTATCACAAATGTCAGTGGATCATGGATCCAGGTCAGCCGTCAGTTGTCCAGAAACAAAGGTACTGTACACATTATAACAGCTGCCTTTAACTGATCGCCTGAACAGTTTGAGACCACGTACACACACCCTGGCCTCTGGCAACCACCTGGCCAGAATTACAACAGTATAGTACTTTGCAGGGGGCCTAATCTGTCATCTTTGTCAATCGCTCAGTTGGGCTTGGTCAGTCAATCAACACAATTGCAAGGCTGCATTGCGTTATCAGCAAACAAAAAATTGTACCGGTAGGCCTACATGTATACTTCCAGTTTTTCAAAACAATCTCCCACAACCACAAATTTCAAAGGGAAAGTATTCCATATACGGACAACTTCAATTTTCCCTTAAAATGTTATACCAACTGTCAGAAAGTGAGACGTTTGTAACATGTCATAAAAAGTGAAGTTTAGGTAAGAAAATTATAAACCTTATAAGTACTGTCTATACTCATATATGGAACTCTTTTCTTACAAAGAAAACAGCGACTGGCTTATGGCAGAATTAGCGGCAGATCATGCAGTGAGAACATAGATCATGCAGTGAGAACATAGATCATGCAAAGATTGATCAATCGCACAGATTGACCAATCAGCCCATCAATCCTGCCCAAATCTTGTAGGGCCCCCATCTGCACACATGCCTCTAAATCTTGTGCTTTACTGCAGTTTCTGTGCTCAAGCAGGAGATGTGGAAAAAAGGTACAAAGGGCATGAGCATGAAGGGGGGGAGGCGGAATAACCCCAGTCTACCCCAGGTAGAGCTGTGGGACCCCACAGTTTTGGGGTAGGCCTAAGCAGGGATCTGAGGAGGGTAGGCCCTGTGCTATATTGCAATGGGAACAGCTCGACTCGTAGCTTGGACAACTTGTACCATGGACAACTCGCACCATCAACTTAACATAACTCGTACCTTTGCCGAGGACTTCGCACCTTGGACAACTTGTACCTCCAGTAAAGGCAACTCGTACCTTTGCGTACGAGAAAACTTGTACCTTCACAGAAATCAGAGCTTGCTCAGAGCTTATTATTATTGTAATTAACTTGAACAATAGCTTGATTTCTTAGTCTTAGTCACCTAATTTGCCGTTTTGGCTACACTGCCTTTCCTACATGCCAGAGGGGTGACACTGACATGAGATGAGTCAATGTCGTGCATGTACGTGCACAGGCAGTCAGGCAAACTGACGCTGGTCAACGTGGCCAGCTGTCGTTGCATGCAATGCGGAATCTTCACTGTGCAGACCACCGTGTTAACGGAGTGATGTCATGTTTTCATTTACTTCAGTTTATAAAGTAATGTTAGTTGTAACTTTGTCCAAAAAAAAAAATTAAAAAGGAAGGCTACCAGCCCCCCCCAAAAAGTTAAAAACAAGACCAGAAACATATTCAAAACAAATCAAGACCTAACAAGTTTCATTAGGTACACCCCCCCAAAAAAGTTACAAAACAAAGCCATTATTCCCCCACATGAAATGAAATGAAAAAGTCTGGTAACATTTTCCCAGAGCCATTAAGAATACCGGTACATGTAAATTGAAATCCCCCCCAAAAAAACAAGAATGTTAATAAGGAAGTCAAGTTGCTAAACAGACAGGTTGTTCGACAGGGAAACAGGTCAACTTGTACCTTGAACAACTTGTACCATCAACTCAACATAACTGTACCAACTCGTACCTTTGCCGAGTCGCACCTTGGACAACTTGTACCTCCAGTAAAGACAACTCGCACCTTCGCATACGAGACTACTTATACCTTCACAGAAATCAGAGCTTATTATTATTGTAATTAACTTGAACAATAGCTTGATTTCTTAGTCCTATGTTCGTCACCTAATTTACCATTTTGGCTACAATGCCTTCCCTACAAGCAGGAAGGGTGACATTAATGTGAGACGTGTCAACGTTGTGCATGTGCACGCACGGTCAGGCAACTAGTGCTGGTCAATGTGGCCAGCCGTCATTACATGCAATTCGGAATCTTCACCGTGATGATGGAGTGATGTCATGTTTTCATTTGTAAATGTCAGTTGTAACTTGTCCAAAAAAAAAGAAAACAATTTTAATAAGGAGGGCAACCACCTCCCCCCCCAAAAAAAATTAAAAAACGAAACCAGAAACATTTCCAAAAGAAATCAAGACCTAACAAGTTTCATTAGATACATACCCCCTAAAAAAAGTTACCAAACAAAGTTCAATAACATTTTCCCAGAGCTATAAGAATAAATTGAAGTCCCCCCGTCCAAAAAAAAAACCTGAATTTAAAGTTCTGTAAAGTCCACCCCCCCCCAAAAAAGAATAATGTCGGTCAAGTTGGTAAACGGTCAGGTTGTTGGACATCTGTCACGTAATAAACCGATGGCGCAAATGCCCACAGCAGGCACTATGCAGAAAATCATGCTGGCGCTCAAGATCTCTCCAGGAGATTTGTGAAGATGTTTCCTTGATAAGTTTGTCAAATCTGATCTTAAACATGCTGAAAAGAGCAAGAAAGTTACAACCGAATTGCAAACATGAAGGTACCGCTGGTCTTAACTTGAGGTACGAGTTGTCCAAGGAACGAGTTGCCCATGATACGAGTTGTCCAAGGTGCGAGTCATCCAAGGTACAAGTCCCCAAGGTACGAGTAGACTCGAAAGCGTTCGACATTTTTATTTCTACCTCCCTGCGTAAACCGACAGCACAAATGCCCATAGCAGGCGCTTGAGATCCCTCCGGGAGATTTATGAAGATTTTTCCTTGATATGTTTGTCAAATCTGATCTTAAACATGCTGAAAAGAGCAAGAAAGTCACAACCAAAATGCAAACATGAAGGTTCTAGTGGTCTTAACTCGAGGTATGAGTTGTCCAAGGTACGAGTTGCCCATGATACGAGTTGTCCAAGGTACAATCATTCAAGGTACCAATCGCCCAGGGTACAAGTTAAGTCGAAAGCATTGCAACGAGTCCCAACTATTTTAGCCGGGAGTCATCAAATCTGGTCGCTCAATGAACATGACATAAAGTTAATAAATACCACAAAAGTATAACCCATATGTAGTCCGAGTAACTTGGACCCTACAAATCGCATTTTTAAACATTTAAGCATGGTCCTAGTATCGCCCGACCATAATGTTTAAAAAAGCAATTTGTAAAATTTTAGGGTCCAATTTACTTGGACTAGCTTAAATTTACCCCCAGAACTGTGGGATCCGACGTCTGCTCCTCTCCTACAAACCCCACAGAAAAAGAGCCTTTTTTGCCATAGGCTATGCATGACATTTAACAGGGCACCAACTGGGATTCCATTCGAGTTGTGTACCCACAGAAATGTTGTTTCATTTCCCCGAAGAATTTTATGTAAGATACATGTACATGTAGCTTACATACCTTTTTGAGTACCAAGAAAGAAAAGGGCCAAAACCATGCCGTTTTCCCCAAAAAGGTGCAAATACATGTATTTCCTGATCAGTGTCTGAGAGTCTTGCCGTTCACATGTGTACTTGCAAAGACGAGCCGCAACCAAATGGCTGACTACGACTGCCATCGATACACAAGACATGGAAATTGGCTACAGCCACTTTCCGTACATGTGTATGCAATTCTTAGCTGCGCTGGTTGAAATGACAGTTGGCTGCGGAGCGCTGGGGTCACACTGACCAATCACAGGGCTCCTCATCATTTATGCCCAAATTGAAGGAAGACAAGCAACAGCCGTTGGGTGCACAAAGCCACTCAACAGGAAGTGTTCACTGTGTGACGTGCACTGATACTCAACAGCTGTTGCTTGTCTTCCTTGAGCATAAATAATGAGGAAGCCTGGGATTGGTCAGTGCAACCCCCAGTGCGCCGTAGCCAACCGCCATTTCAACCAGCACAGCTAAAAATTGTACACATGGCACACATATGTACGGAAAGTGGCCGTCATGGCTGTAGCCAATTTCCACGTCTTTTGTATCAATCGCAGCTGTAGTCAACCATTTGGTCACGGCTCGTCTTCGCTAGTACACATGTGAACCGCAAGACTCTCAGACACTGATCTGGAAATATTTGCACCTTTTTTGGAAAACGGCATGGTTTTGGCCCTTTTCTTTCTTGGTACTCAAAACATGTAAGCTATCTTACATGAAACTCTTGGGAGAAACGAAGCAACATTTCTATGGGTACACAACTCGAATGGAATCCCAGTTCATGCCCTGTTAAGCATCATGCATAGCCTATGGAGAAAAAGGCTCTTTTTCTGTGGGGTTCATGGGAGAGGAGTGGACGTCGGACCCCACAGTTGTGGGGGTAGCTGAGACCCATAAACAGGGCCCAACGAATTCTCCTCTGTCGTATACTATGCCCTGTCCCGATTAATAGGGATTTCTTTAGAAAACTTTATCCGGAACATCCGGGGGCTGGTGAAATTTCACCAGTACGTTCACTACTTACGCTGTAAAAAATCCACTTGGTTGCTAATTGTAGAAAACTCGCCTTTCCTCATTTGGAGGAAAAGATTTTGCGTATTTTGCCGCTTCCCACTCCATACGAATTTTTGCCTGACTTGTACATTACACAGACTCCTTTGTATGGTCAAGTAATGGTACCCTGTACGAGAGCCTGTCTAGTTTGCACCCAGACTTCAGCACCTACGTACATGTATCTCGTTCAGATCTGCTAGAGTACCCGTTGATCTAAGTACTCGTAGAGAATTATGGCTGTTTTGTGTCGCGGCTAATACGCAACGCCCTTGACTGGTTCCCTGTCCAGTTACACACTGTTTGCGGCAAATCATTGGTAGCATGGCTCGCTCTCTGTAAAGTGACACAAAAGTGACGAAACAGCTGTCACTTTTGTGCAAGTGGGGCAAACTTCGTCTGGAGTTGGAAAACGGCAAAAAACGCAACACTTTTTCCTCCAAATGAGGAAAAGGCAAGTTTTCTGCAATTAGCAACCTAGTGCCAATAGTGGATTTTGTACAGCATAAGTAGTGAACATACCGGTGCAATTTCAGCTCATAAAATTAAGTATGTTAAGTGGATGTTTAGTTATGCCCCCGGATGTCCTGGATAAAGTTTTCGAAAGAAATCCCTACTAATAGGACAGGGCCCAGTATGCGACGGAGGAGTATTCGTTGGGCCCTGTTTACGGGTCTAGCATGTCTAGGGGTAGCCTAAATCATGATAAATTGATAGCCTAATTTAAAAATTTTCCTCACCAGTTTGAGTGTAACCCCTTTCCTTTTTCAGTACAATGAAACGTGTGCCTGACTTTTTCTCGTATGTGGCGATTTTCTGCTTAACCTCATCCTCAGTGTCCAGGCAGAAAACACCAGTGTCATCTTTGAAGGGGTCATCTAGAGAGCTGTCCTCACCCTCAGCCAGGCTGGCGTGATACGCATGATCGGCCATGTCTGCGTTAGATCTACTTTCATCCTTCCCCCTCGCCGAACCATGCGAACCGTCGTCGTCTTCTTCACTGTGTTCAAGTTCGTGGATCAAGCCCGATTCGTCGTTCCTCCAAGACTGATCAGGGGAGACAACTTCGTGAACAATTTCCTCTTCGACATGCTGCTCGACTTGTTCTTTTTCATGAGCAGAAATTATGATTTCAGCTTCCTCAGCGTCCGCCATCATTTGCGATGAGCAATTTTGGTCGAAGAACGCGGTGTCGTTGAACACGAGACACCCAGTGTTTTTAAATAGCGCCATCAACGAACAGAAGTAAGACAGTTTACAACGAGTTACACGGTGTTTGATTGGTCAAACGATACGCATATTATCGGATTCACCCAATGTAGTGAGGTGACGAACAGGTGAATCCTCCACACAAATTCGAATTTGCAGCTGAGCAGGAATCTGCCGGGTTCATATGCTCACAGTCGTACGTACCGGCATATGCACACGAGATGTGAACGAAGACTGTGAGTTCGAGTGTGACTGCGCGAGTCCGAAGTTCGAACGGATTTATACATGCAAGGAAAGAAGTACATGTAGAAGAGTGTTATGGTGTGTTATTACGGGCCTACAAGCTGACTAGTAAGTGAGTATGAAGATCATTTGATGACTAGAGCTGTGTTTTGTCTGTTTGAAATGGAGGTTTAAGTTAACTTAACCAATGTCACACTCTTCCTACGTGTCCTTGCATGCCTAGCCAGATTAAACGGCCCAGTTCGTACCATACTTTTTGGTGCGTACGCCCACACCGACTAAGAGTGTACCGGGATAGCCCCGAACTTCAAGTTCAGTTGAGCCTGTCGGTAGCTGTGCGAACACAACGGTCTGTAATGAAGCATTTTATCATCGAAATTTACTTTTTTCGAATGCTTAATTAACATGCTTTGTATAATAAACAACTGTCGCAGGGGAAAATAAGTGATGTTCTTTCTGTTCTGGGTCTTAATTTGAAAAAAAGGAAGGGGGGGGAAGTTTGTAGATCTTTCTAAATTCAAACCATATAAAAGTCAGGCTAACCATGGAGGTAGGAAAATAATTGTAAGTCACCGTAGTTATAGTGGAGGCACCTACATGTACATGCAAGTTTTCTTTTTATCATGAGTGTCAACGCCATGACTGTGCCAACGTACTTTTTGAATGACAGTGAAACGGAATTTATCATTATTGGCACTCGTCAACAAATATCCAAGGTAACTTTTGATGGTATTCATGTTGGGGAATCTGTCATTTCACCCTTGGCTACAGCTCGTAACTTAGGTACCTGGTTTGATGCTAATATGTCTATGAAAACTCATATTACTAAGGTTTGTGGTAGCGCATTCTATTATCTGCATAATATTAGACACATTCGGAAATATCTCTCCAAAGAATGTACTGAGACACTGATTCATGCATTTATCTCAAGTAGATTGGATTACTGTAATAGTTTGTTTTATGGCTTACCCAGTACTCATATTAATCAGCTCCAGACGTTACAGAATGTTTGTGCACGACTCGTCTACAAGACACCGAAATTTTGTCGAATTACTCCTCTTCTTATTGATTTACATTGGCTTCCGGTTTTATATAAAATTGAATTTAAAATTTTGTTGATGACATACAAAGTCTTACATGATTTAGCTTCTCAATACTTAACTCAGCTTGTCTCCGTAAGGCCTCAGAACCGTTACCATCTTCGTAGTTCCAGTGATGGTGTCCTCCTCAATTATCCATCAGGTCAGGCTAAGGCTACCCTCGGAGATCGAGCATTTGAGTATTGTGCGCCACATCTCTGGAATAAGCTTCCATGTAATATTAGAAGTGCTACCAGTGTCATTACTTTTAAATCAATGTTAAAAACATATCTTTTTAAGAAATCATATTATTAATTTCTAGGCTCTGGGTGGTTGTTAATTTTGATTGTAATTTTGTCGTCTTTAATTTTGTTGAACCTGTCTGGGACTCTGGGAGAATCTGGGTGTTCTCTTGGAGAGTGCTTCCAGTTTTCGGGCACAAGGATGAGTCTTGGTCTCACAATAGGTCGTTGGAGGGAGAGTTAGTCCCGGCCACGTGTGGAAGTCCCACCATGTTTGGTTTAAACTTTTAAATCAATGTTAAATTGTGTTTATTTTAATTTTTTTGGGTCTTTGTAAATAGTTGTTTAAATACATGTAGGTATTTTTTAAATATTGTTAAGCACTCCTGAACATTTTTTATGAAATGAGCGCTATATAAATTGAATTTAATAATAAAAAATAATAACAAAAAATTAAAATACATGTACATAGACCTGTACACACTATAGTCTAATAATGGTGCAGACAGACAGGTGGTAGTGGTACATTTCCCTAGGCCCAACATGCCTACATGTACGTGTAGGCACATTCCAACTATAGTTTTTTGAACCCTTCTTAAGTAAGTAGCTTTTCTTAATCTTTAATGCCATGAATGTTCTTTTTTATTAACCCTAACCCTCCTCAATCCTTCACCTGTTGGAGGACTGAGGAGTGTTATGGTTAACAGACCGTCAGATTTATAAGTTCCACACCCCACATGTGTTTTGCTCTGTACTCAAAGCCTAGGACTCATTTGTATGTGGTAGATACATGTACCATTAATCATTTATTGTAAAAATACCAAACTCTGAAGTGTTCTGGGTTTGGGATTCGATGACTCATTGAGAAATGTGTTTAAAAGTCAGATTCTTTACCATGAAGATAACCTCATCGCATGGTCCTTTGAAATACATGTACATCAGGGAGTTTGGCTGAAAGATTTACATGCAGGATGATGAAATGATTTTTTTCTGGGCAAAACGTCTGATTCATACAAAAAGGCTGATTCTTACTGGTAATTGGCCTGAAAGTTTGAAGGCAAATTTGACATCGGGATTAAGATCAAATGTTTGCTCTGTAAATCTGCAAAAGTTCAACACATTTCAAATGAGGCAAACTTAGCAGCAAATGTTTGTTACGTCAAATCACTCTGTTTTTGCATTTGCCTGAAGTGAGAACGGGCCTTTAGAACTTAATGTAAGAGTTACATGTACATGTACAATGTATGTACATGTAAACATTTGAAACGATTCAGTACTGTTCAGTTTGTTTTGGTTTTCCTACAGCAGGATGAAATACATGTATCTGAGATGCTGACTTCTCCAAGGTGACTGTTGCAACTCCGACACACCGCCCATCCCTCAAAACCCTAACGGAGGGAGGCCAAGATGAGTGGCAATGTCAGCCAGCGGCCGAACATTCTCCATCTGGCCGAGAGGACGTCGATGCCAGTGAAGAAGCCCGTCCGCGCCCCCATGCCCAAGAAGAGGAGCAAGGGGGTGCCCCTCTCAGAGCGGGTAAGTGACTTCAGTTGGACCACCAATGCTGTGCATCTATACATGTATGCGTATATTTGCATGTAGGTACAATGTACATGTGCGTGCATTGGGATGTGACCTCCTCTTTGAAAATGAGTTACAAGTCAAAGCCATTTATAGAGTGAGGAGCCTTTTGAACAGCGTAAACCAGTAACAAACCTTAGTGTTTTTCATCTATGTGTGTACACGTATATGTACATGTGATGTCCATTTTTATCAGGATTCTTTGCACTTAGTGAATACAAAACAAGGAACTCAGTGTGCTCTTAAGTACTAAAACTCAAAAGTGGCTCTGGTGCCATCTGAGTCATTTTCACAGACTTAGGGCCCATCTGTTGTTGTTTTTTCCCACCAGTGGCTGGCAAAATGTACATACATGTACATGGTTGGCCATTAGTGTAAAAAAAAGAGTAATTGTCACAGTGTTACAAAAGCCCCAAAACTATGAATATTGAATACCCTGCGGCTGTTAAATACTTCTTTGCCTTCAGTTGGAGTAATTTAATGTGTGTTAACAGCGGTACATGTACATGTATGTTATCAGCCATGGATAAACTCTTGAGACCCTTTCAAACTGGTTTGCAGTGTTTGTACATACATGTATGTAAATAAACATTGTTATCTAATGTGCATCCAGCAGATCTATGATATAGGCGGATCATGTCAGAGGTGGCCTCTGAACAAGATGCTGGGTTGGTAGTTGTTCCTTGAGACAGGGAGCTTAATGTTGATAAACATTTAAACAAGAATAGAGTTGTGTAGATATCTAGTGAAAGTCTTTTCCATCAGGGAGACTGCCTACAGTCAGTACAAAACTTTACCTTTCACAAGGCTCTTTTCCAATGGGTACTTTAGCAGAAGAAAGTGTGGATTCAACCTGTTCACAGCGTTAATTATGGTGTTACAGTTCACCTGGCCACTCCAGAACCAGGTCATTTTTAATCGAAAAACCATACCCCTCCATCGTTGAGCTGTGGTTATGCAGCAGTGCGTGTGATATATTTACAATAAACATGGCAACCTGAGCTGCTTCTATTAGCAAGCAGTTCTTCCTTTTCTGAAGATATATGTGTTTTGAATGGAAATACATGTATGTTTATTTACATGAAGCATAGTTGAACATTTCACAAGAAACATGTATCCAAAAACCAATGTCACGCTCACATCAGATTATACTGAATATTAAACATGCAGATTTATTCAGTGTTTTACATACTGTACATGTGTACGGGTACCTGTGCTGTTAAGCAGGGTTTCCCATATGGTACTGACAGACTGATAATCATGAGGGGCCCAAAACTTTTTGAAAATATCAAACTGCCCCGCAAATGCACATTGCCTAGTGTGCTAACAGGGCATGTACATAAATGGAATGGCTATTGAATTCCATACATGTACAATACACGCATGCAGTCATACAAAATGGAGGGTAGTGTACAGGTACACATGCATGTACATGTATACATGTACTTGTAAATATTGAATAATTCTGGTTGTGTTCAAATGTTTTAAAGACATCAGTATATTGAATTCAACTATTTCTTCCTCTCAAATACCCAAAGAATTTAAGGTTTCTTTTTAAAACGTGATTTATTTTAACGATTTTTAAAATTCTTTTAAGTGATTTAAATCATGATTTAAATCAATGATTAAAATCATTTGATTTAAATCAAACAACCTTGTTTCTCATGGTACGGTACGTTTGGTACATGATCTATTCCTGGATAAATTGGTCATTGTGTGGCCTTCTTTGCCAGGCAGAATAATCCGAACAAGAATTGCTCCTCAAAATTCAATTTCTGTTATGCACATGTGTATGTTTGCTTTGATAAGGTGGGCTGCTTCAAAGGGGAAACCCTGACACATACTGTACATGTACATTAGTGTATGCACGTATTTGTTGGTGAAGCAAGTACGCCAGTTTGCTTTGCACATACAGGTCTCATACATGACGTACATGTACTGTACTGTGACTTCTGCATACTCCGTACATTGTATCATGATGACTGGACTTACTGTAGATAGGACACTTGTTATTTCAGGTAACCCTGGAGCGAGTGCTTGGCTTGACAGTTCGAGACAACAGAACCTTTGCCTGTAACCCAATCACAGGCCTGGTGGTCTATCCAGCCGGGTAAGTCACTCAGATGTTGATTCCTTTGAACAGAACTTTCCCGTTGATGTCATTTGTAATCATTTGAAACACCGGTACATCAACTGAAACTGGGGACCTGAATGTGGAGCACTGTGATTTATACCACAGTCGCTAAATCAGCACATACCGGTACTGGTACAAGTTTATGACATGTCCATTGAATTCTACATCGCACAGTGTATATTATTAAATTATAGTTGAGTCCTTGCACATGTTGAAGATTATAGTTGACTCATACCACATGTTGAAGATTACAGATCCAGAACTAACCATTGTACATATGTATGCATGTATATGTGTAAATTGGAGTTTTTACTCTATTGTTTACGTAATCAGTTGTGCTACTTTTTGACAATGAATCTTTCAGTTTTGATAAGATACTTTAACGTAGGTACGTGCATGCAAAAATTCTGAAGCTAAGAGACTGAAATAAATAAATAAATGAATGAAGTCCGAACTTGTCAGAAAACTGCTATCGGCTAAACTCGTTTCCAAAAGCATGACTTCAGACGGTGAGTGAATAATTGTAACTTGCTGTATTAAAATGAACCTCAATGGAATGTTTCTTGAGGATTGCTACCGGTACATTACCAGTATGTGTTCGGTAGTTCCATTAGTCCTTTCTGGTTAATTCATGGAAAGTTGACTTTACGTGTACCTTAACTGGTAGCTTCAATTTCTGGAAGCAGCCATTCTATCAATTGAAACCTGAAGCTGCTGTTGAATGGATTCATTAACCAAAAAGTTAGCTACACTGTATTTAAATTAACTTGTTCCGGGTAGTCTTTTTGGTGCATAATGTACATGTATGTTGTGCCTGGCATACATTACGACTTAGTATTTAATGCAAGTTCAGGTACATGTACCGGTACCTGTCTACATAACCGGTACCATACAAGTGGCACATGTAGGTAGGTGCACATGTAGTGCACTAACATGTTACATGTATGATGTACATGTATGTACATTGTACCTACAATTGTACATGCGGTTACATAATGACTCCAGCCAGCTGGCCCGTATCTTGTTTACAAACTGCATGTATGTGTACATGTACATGTACTTTTACAGTGTGCATGTACATGTAGGTACAATGTATGTAGTGGAGTTCTATAGATGTGACACATTCAACCCAGTAGCACTTACTAGAATGTGTACCAGTGGTTTCTGCTTTCTGGTTGTTTTGGCTCTACACAGAAGCATATCGTACTGTACAATGTATCTGTATTGGCCCAGAGAAGTTGAGAGGACACAGGAACACAGATTTTGGGTATGCTTCAGCCTTCTTCGCCGAGCGTTTATTCCAGCCGCAACTTGAAACAACAAATACAAATGTTCTGGATTTACAGGAATTGCTATGGGGTCCCAGAAACACCTTGAATGATACACAAGTACATGTAAAGGCAACAATAATACATGTAGCTATTATCAAAGTACACAGTGCTAACAACGTACTGTACATGTAGCACCACTATAATGGAGAACTTCTCCATAGTGTCACGAGCAAGAGACGCTGAGTTTAATGACGCAAAGTAACGGGCAAGAAACGCCGGATCTTGTAATGCGTGTGTAATGGGCAAGAGATGCCGAAACTCTAACACATAGATAACGGGCAAGAGACGCCGGACCTTTAACTGGTGGCCAGTAACCAAGAGACTGTGTGTGCAGCAAGTCGCCAGAATGTTTGCCCCCATCCCGACCCCCCAAGGTACGGGGGGCCCGCGGGGGGAGAGGCCACCCCGCGACTGGGGCTTTTATGCCCAGAACAGGACATGACTTGTGCAGCCTATGGTCAGCGGCCAGGAGGTTTAACCCTGAAGGGATCGCGGGTCTCAGGACCTGCTCACCCAGGCCTATCAGAGGGACTGAGCACCCCTCCCTGTCATCTTGAATGCCCAAATGCTACTCTTGAAGGGAGCCCTGCCGGTGCCTGTATGCGTGCTGTTTGAGCAGCCAACGATGAGCGGCCAGGAGCCCTGCTGCCGCCCCTAGGACTGGCCCGGCATTTCCTGCCAGTGCATGCAAATAAAACAAGGTGGGATCCACCTCCAGTGCGGAGGGTGTTTTTTTTTTTTTTTATATATAATTGTACGCGCTCGGCGAAAGAGGAGAAGTGTGGCAAACGCGCCAAAACAACCAGCCAGAGTGACGTGTGCACCGTCTGATTGGTTGGGGTGCAGCCGTTGTTGGAAATGGGCCAAAGCCACACGCGCAGCATAAGCAACTCCGCTGGTATCAGGAACGCTCTCACCCCTCTGGCCCAAAGGGGGTTTCCCGGAGACAGGCTCCTGGGAACTGTATTACCTATACATGTACATTTGCAAGATATTACAGGCACATCAAGTACAGCGTCTTTTTTTTCACAGTTCAGTAAGTTTGCTTGTTGTGCACCTGTATGCTGTAACTCTGTCATTATTCGTAAGAAGTGCACTGGTTTACATGAAGTGTGAACTGAAGTGTTAAACACACTGATCAGCAAAGACTTTGCTCCTGCTTTGCACATGTACATGCATGTACTTCTTACATGTATGTACATGTAACACAGCCAACTCTAAATGATGCATTCAGTGACTGATGTTTAATGCTCAGTGTACAGGAGTTTCGTTGTGTACAGAACCTACATGTACATGTACCTAGTACTGTAGATGCCCATCTGTAATGTTTATCCCGATCTACATGACAGGTACATGTTCCTAGACCACATGTGCACTGTATGTATGTATACATGTACGTACGTATGTATGGACCATTAATAGGCGTGCACCTAGACATCATTGCTAAATCTCAAAACAAATGAATAAACTTGTGGAAGAGACTTCACCCTTCCTGTACCTGCAGCAATTGAAAGCTAACCACATTTTTGTAACTTGGTTTTTTTTTTTAATTCTTGCTGGTGAAGGGTGAGGCATCTAACCACGGATAGGGGTCTTGTGGTCGTGTTTAATCATTCCCAAGCTTGATATTTTCATTCAAGTGATTATTATGACTAGAGGGTAGGCAGGGCTATCCAATTAAAGGCATTGGTGGTTTGTTAATCCATGGCAGGTGACCCAGATCCTACCCGGTAAGTTTGGGTCGAGCAGAGAGGGTCAGTTCACCAGCAGACAGGCATCTGAGTGCTCCTTGTAGGCCAAACAATGAAAAGGGGAAAAAATTCAATAAAGAGTCGCATACTGCTAATCAAATCCCCTGGAGTGTACACGTACATGTACTGGTGTGAAATCTGGTTAAATTGAAAATCTGAGGAAAGAAGAAAGTCCAGAGAATACCGAGGATACACAGGACAAGAAGCTTGGAATGTGCAATTTACACAGTGCGGCTGCAGCCTTGTACAGTACATGTACATACATGTACAGGTACCAGTGGGCCTATACTGTGCATTTTTACTGCAAACATACACTGTAAGCCCTCAGGGGAGACACATACAGTGTAAGCATTGTACAGTACACAGTGTATGTAACTGATGAGACCTCTGGCACACAAACATTTAACAATACCAGAATGAAACTGTTGATTCAAAACAGATTTAGCAAAATCTGTCGTAAATTGCATTGTATATGTCTGTATTAGCTGTGCATACACATGTAACAACATTTATTGTACAAGGTACATGTATGTGTATACGTGTATGGTACATGTACTATACATGTACAAGTTTGTCTACCACTACATTTCACTACGTAGACGGATACAGAGGGGGTCTGGACCCCCCCTTTGGGAAATCTATTTTCCTGATATGTTCCAGAAAGTAGGCCCTAACTGGACAGCAGGAAATTACTATTTCAGTGTCGGTTATTACCCTTGCAATTTGCCAAAAAGACTTGCTATTGTCCAAATATCATAAGGTTTTTCACGGCAAATAATTTCCATAACCAGATCATCAAAATGCTGCAGCGGTGCCCATCTTATCTATCCGACTTCAACAATCGAATCGCTCTCAGCCAGCCGTCTGTTGGTATGGTTGCCGTCCCCAACATGCGTAACTAGAATCTATAGAGGATGTACATGTAGGAGGCTCCAGAGAAGTTGTCATTCAGAAATATCCAGAAATTATCCTGCCACATATGTACATGTACCAGTACATATGATACTCATTTTAGTTGAAAGATGAATGCTGGCGAGCTTTTTTCAGTGGTCGGTACTGAGGTTTGCCTGGTTCTGCAAAACTGTGCCAGTTCTGTAACTAGCGCTATCTGTATGGCAGGTCATGTTTTTCCGACCCTTATGGCTGTGCATCTCTTGCACACAGACAGCGCGCATTGAGCTTTAAATAAGATTCGTAATTGAAAATTAAATCAATCTTTGCTGGGCATTTGTTTGAAACAACTGGTAAATGTGATCAAAATTGCCTAAGATTGCACCATAGAGTTTAGAATCCAAAATTTTCTGAGGCCTTTATGCGGGCCCTGGACCCATGCTGATAGGAGCTTTGCGCTACGCCTTTTCATAAGGACACTGAGATTATTGAGCCCCTTGATTTTGTGAGTCAGTTCTCGGGCACATTTCCATAATGGCACAACCCATTACCAACTTCAGGCAGTCTGTTGATGCCCTTGATTTCAATTTTTTGTATTATGAAAAAATATCTCTTGATCAAAGAAAATCCAAACGTGCAAGGGCATGTATACTGCAGTTCGTATGAAAAGTTACCTAGAATTCGGGAACTGTCACACTGACTCTATCTGGGTTACATTTGTCTAAATTTAAGTATAGATTCTGAGCAGTGAAAATATTTTGGCTGGTAACATTAAGGGTACGATACGACAACTAAGGCTGTTTTTCGACAGTTGCAAAATTTGTTCAGACCATTCAATTTTACCATTCTAATCCTATTTTTATTATCAACTTTAGGGATAAGACAACGTATTTTAGATCATAATTGATCTATACAGGAAGTTAATTCGTAATTTCTGTTTAAACCACACAAATACTCTCGAAAAAATATTTAAGGTATGGGAAAAGGGCTAAAAAACCTTGAA